CCCTGAGCCCACCAGTGCCCATCCCCAGGTCGGGAACTGCCCTTGGCTGAGGGCACAGGGCAGGGGAAAGCCGGGATCACCCCCGGCCTCTGGGATCCCCCCACAGCCTGAGCCCACCAACGTCAGCCCTTATCAGCCCCTCCTGCACCCCAAGGGGCCATGGTGGCTCTACATGGTGGCTCTATCTGTGACAGCAGGCGGGGACTGGGGCACAGGGACATGGGGGAGGTGAGTGACACCCCGTGGGGACACCGATAGCACAGGCAGGCATGACCCACCCAAAAACCCCGAGAGGACTCACGGTGCCCAGAGCACGTCATCATGAGGGCCTTGGCTGTTTGGAAACCCCTCACCCCTCTGGAGCCCCCCGGCTGCCACACGATGGGGGCCCAGGGCTTGAGGCACCACGGATGTCTGTTTGTCTGTCCCTGTCACTCCCTGGACGGTGGCAGTGGGGGTGACAGGGCTGGGGTAAAGTCCACGGTGCCCATCGCTGTCCCCCCGCCAGCTCCTGCAAACGGCACCGGTGTCACAGCCAGGCCTGGCCCGGGGTTCTGTGTCCCAGGGGCTGGGGGGCCGAAAACAAGAGGCTGAGACAGGTCCCCCGGGAGGGGAAGCTCTGGAGCGTGGCAGGGGAGGGACAGGCACGTCTGGACTCTGCCCCCAACCTCTGCACTTCACCTTTGCAACTGGTCCATGGAGCACGGCTGGATGCAGCCACCCTGCACTGGGAGCTGCCCCTCCCTGCCTCAGTTTCCCCACAGCAGGACAAGGCTGGAGCGAGGAGCTGGCTGTCAGGAAGGGGAATTAATGGAATTAACTCATGTGGGTCACACACAGCTGATGAAGCACGTGGGAGGGAGGGCCATGCACTGGGCTGGGGGCCTGTGGCATCCCCGAGTGCCACAGCTGCACCCATAACACCCTTCCCACGGCTCCTCAGCCCTGGGGCCATCGCTGGGCCCAGTCCCAGCACCATGCTGGGCACTGGGCACTGGGCAGCAAACTACCTGGAGTCTGCAGCAAACTACCCGGAGTCTGCTCCAAAGGGTCCGGCTGGCAGGATCCTGACCCCCCCACACACCCAGCCACGGGAACAGGAGGTGTTGGGGGGGGCGAAATGCCAGGGTGCCAACCCCTGGGCTGGTGCTCTGCCCCTTGCTGTGCTCCCACACTGTCCCAAGGGGCTGTGCAGAGGAAGGGCTGCACATCCAGCATGGACGGGAAGCATCAAAGGGCAGGTGGAAGGGAGAGTCCTGCATCAAGGAACCTGTGGAGATGGGATGAGGGGAGGAGGGAGCCAGGGACCCTCTTCCAGGTGCCGGTGACTCATCTCCCTGCTCTTGTGCCTCAGTTTCCCCCATTTAACGCTGCCTCTCTCAGGGAGAGGTTTCCACTGGAGGCGGGGGCTGAGCTGCTGGTGTTGGGAGACCATCCCCAGGGAGTGGGCCAGGGGAATAACCCCCCTCCTTGCAGCGCCACCGGCTCTCCCCTCCATTCCTTCCCTGGCCATATCTCTCTGCTCCAGCCACACCTGGTTGGAAACAAATATCCCAGCCAACGCCACGCGTGGCCGGGTAACGTTTCATCACAGCACCTGATTAGTCACGGGCAAACCCTGCCTGCTTCACCCGGGCCGATTAGTCACCGGGGGAGGGCTGTGCCCCCAAATCCCCCCCGATGCAACCAGCACCCCCCGGGCTCAGCGAGGGCTGCCCAGGAGGGGGAAAACCTGCTCCCTGCCCGCCTGAGCAGCTCCTGCCATGATGGTGGGCAGGGAAACCAGTCTCTGGGAGCAGAGTGGGGCGTAAAACCCGAGTGGCCCCGGGCACATCGCAG